GTATGTAAGTCAAGAAGCAACAGTTGGAACCAGACATAGAACAATGGGCTGGTTTCAAATCGGGAAAGGAGTATGTCGAGGTTTGTCAAGTATTGTCACTCAGCTAGTTTAACTTATATGCAGAGTACATCATGAGAAACGCTGGGCTGGATGAAGCACAAGCTGGAATCAAAATTGTTGGGAGAAATATTGATAACCTCAGATATGCAGATGACACCACCCTTATGGCAGAGAGTGAAGAAGAACTAAAGAACCTCTTGACGAAAGTGAAAGAAGAGAATGAAAAAGTTGGCTTAAAACTCAACATTCAGAAAACTAAGATCATGGCGTCCGGTCCCATTACTTCATGGCAAATGGATGGGGAAACTTTGGAAACAATGACAGACTTTATTTTCTTGGTCTCCAAAATCACTGTACATGGTGACTGCAGTCATGAAATTAAGATGCTTGCTCCTCGAAAGGAAAGCTATAACCAACCTAGACAGCATATTAAAAAGCAGAGACATTACTTTGCTAATGACATTACTTTGTCCAGCTGGTCAAAGCTATGGTTTTTCCAGTAGTCATTTATAGATGTGAGAGTTGGACCATAAAGAAGCTGAATGCTGAAGAATTGATGCTTTTGAGCTGTGGTGTGGACAAGACCCTGAGAGTGCCTTGGACTGCAAGGAGATCCAACCAGTTTATCCTAAAGGAAATAAGTCCTGAATATTCGTTGAAAGGACTTGATGCTGAAGCTGAAACCCCAATATTTTGGCCACCTGATGTGAAAAACTGACTCATTGGAAAAGACCCTGATGCTGAGAAAGATTGAAGGCAGAAGGAGGAGGGGACGACAGATGGTTGGACAGTATCACCTACTCGATGTACATAAGTTTGAGCAAGCTCCAGGAGTTGGTGATGGACAAGGAAGCCTGGCGTACTGCCGTTCATTGGTTTGCAAAGAATCAGACGTCACTGAGCTACTGAAATGAACTGAAAAAAGTACCTGCACATGTGCATGAGGCATTGAAAGGGATTAGAGAAAAGAGTTTCCAAAATTTACATGGGTCCAAGAATCACACTTACTAAATTAAATAAAAATTGGAAGAGAGAACAAGTAAATACGAAACAGGAAATAAAAAAGCAGGGGGAAATCAATGAAAGTAAAAGATAGCTTTTTGGGATCAATAATATTAGTAATACATAATGATGCAGTGAGGTTTATCCAAGGAATACAGGTTTAGTTAGCATTTTTAAAGCCTATCAGCATAATTTATCACATTAACAGGCAAAATAAGAAATCCCCTAGGAATATCTCCATAAAAGCAGATTATTTATTGGTTGGATCTAACATCCATTCCTGACAGAACCTCAGACTGGAACTAGGAATAGAAAAAAACTAGGAATGGGACAGGAATAATCATTCTTACTATTTCTATCACACATTATCCTAGGGTTAATAGCCTGTATAATTAGGCAAGAAAACAAAATAAAAAACATTTTGATTGGGGGTCAAATTCTTATCACTTATATCTCTAATGACCAAGAATCTTATTAGGCCACTTTAGCCAGGATTTTCCCTTACCTCTGACAATTCCTCATATTAATTGTCCATCCACTGGCACCTTGTTTGCTCCCGAGCTAAAATGTCTACTTTCCTTCTATTTAGAGTTGAGCTCAGCCTCTCTCTTCTACTGCAAAACCCCACTGCAGTAATCTCTATATCTATCCTGATAGTTCTGAATAAAGTCTGATTTACCATTTTAACAAGAGTCATAGATACTGTTTTCCTTAACACAGTCAATGTAATACCACTGAGAAATAAAAAGGATGAATTATTGATGTATGTCACACTGTGGACAAATTTCAAAATAATCATGCTGAGTGAAAGAAGCCAGACAAAAGGGAGTATAAAGTATATGCTGCTATTCATATAAGCTTCTACAAAATGAGAAATAATCTGTAGTAACAGAAACAACAACAAAAAAACACAACAAAAATGCTTCCTGGGGATAGAGTGGGAAGGAGTAGAGTGCAAAAAGAAGGATTAAAAAGGGAAATAAAATCTGTAGAACTCATTTATGTTCATTTTCTTGATGTGATGATGACTCACCGAAAATGTGCACGTGTATGTGTGTGAAGATTTTTACAATTTAACTATTTACATTTTAATGTATGTAAATCATATCTGAATTTTTTAAAAATAAAGGCTAGTAATTAAAAAAAATGCATTTTCAGAAATAACATTAAGTATATATGACTGCAACAGCATTAAGAAGGACAAGATAAATCAGAAAATAGACATATTTGTTGTCTAGTCATTTTTATTTATCTTTTGCTTCTAAATCTAATCCATAGGGGACCTATCCAAATAACTCCTCTCAACTCTTTAGAAAATCAGTGAATG